TCAGGCAGCGCCACGCTCAGGGCGCGCATCTGGACATGCCGCTCGCTCTTGTCGCTCTTCAGCTCGAACGCACCAACAGCCGCCCCACTTCGCCATGGACACTGGGGAAGAAGAAGCTGCAGACCCAGCGCGCGCCGCCGTCGCCGTCAATGCACGCCAATTTCAAGCTGGTGAAGGGACCGAGCCGCCATCGCAACTTCCAGGTGAAGCGCTACGCCGCGACCCTCTCGCCGCTGCTGACCCATGGCGTGCTGGAGGCGCAGCAGCCGCTGGAGGAGCTACCTCCGTCGGAGCCGCGGCCGATACCGATGCCGCCGCGCCAGGCGATCCCGTTCGTCTCCCAGGTCTGGACCCCGAACTCGACAAAACTCTTCGAGATCTCATGCAAGCTCAAGTTGCACACGCTGCTAGTACATTCCAAGCTCAAGCCAACATACTGCTCAATGATTCACGCGAGAGCTTTCGCCAACTTCTCGCAACACAAGTCCAAGCTACCGAACGACGAGTCGACGCCCTTCATGACGTCGCCGCCCGCACTCGTAGAGAACAAGACCGTCAGGCAGAGGGACATAAGAAGATGTGGCTGCATATCGACCAGATGCGATAGACCCTCGCGCTCGCCGAGGCCCAAGCGCCGATCGCGGACCTTACCAAGCTCGCCGAGTGGGGCCGCGAGATCGACCCCACGATCTTCACCATCGGGGCACAGCGGCTCATCGCGCCCGACGCGCTCTTCAACGACCTACAGGAGTGGATCGCCTCCGCCAATCTGGGCTCCGACGCCGTCGAACTTCGCGGAGGCGAACTTGCGCGCAGGTGTGTGCTACAAGTCAAAGGTGGGCGCGACGTGGCCATCCCGCGCGCACTGGCGCTCACGCGAGCCCTACGCGACGCTGGAGGCAGATGGAAGCGCTTCACATCCGTCGACACCTCGGGCACGCCAACGGACATCTACCTCAGCCCTGACAAGTCGCCTAAGCAGATTCGCACCGAGATCCAATGCAAGAAACTCCTCCAGCTCCTTCAACACCGACATCCTCAAAAGTCATGGGGGGCATATCGAGCCAAGGGCGAGATCCACTGCAACGCCGTGCCCGTCTTGCGCCTCGACGTCAAGGGACAAGCCGACCCCGCCATCCTGGAGTGGAGCGAGAAGGCGTTCGAGCTCGCCACCTTCCGCGACCTTGAGCGCGGCGCCATCCTCTCGTCGTTCCAGGCGCTCTTCGCGGACACAGCGGAGGCCACGTGGCGTGTTTAGCCATCTCTGGGCGGTCTGGCGCCAGGACGTTCGCCTTGCACGGCGTTTGCAATCCACCACCGAGCTTGGCGCCAAGCTCCTCATCAACAACGTCGGACACATCGCGCTCGCGGACGCTGCCGAGTTCACTATGAAGTCTGCCGCGCTGCACCGTGACCTCGAGGCCCAGCAGTGCATCGTCGAGCACATGCACAGCCATCCCATCATTGACGTCGGCGCGCCCTCCAAGCCGCACATCAGAGACTTTCTGCTTCGCACGGCGCCGTCCGCACATGGGCTCGACTTCTTGCCGTGCCGCGCCCGGCTCGCCGTCGTTGCGCCCCTGGACCTGCTGGAGGGCCTGGCCTGGCATCTCTGCTCCAACCCTGACTTCATCCACGACCTGAACGACTCTGACCTCGCGTCCCTGCCGAAGGGAGACAACCTCACAGGCGAGCTCACCACGGATCGCCTCCCTGTGGACACATGCCCGCTGCTCCTCAAGTACATTGATATCAAGGCCATCGCAGGCGCGGCCAACTTCCTCACCAAATCCGCTGTGGCAGAGCGGACTTATTACTCGCAGCAAGGCCTTGTTGTGGGCCGCAATCTCACCAAGCACATCGTCAACCTCAGCGCCGAGATGCGCCGCGCTGGGGTTCAACCAGAGGCCGACAAGCACAGGCCCGTCTTCAACGGCTTCGACCTCGCGGCTGCGCCCCCGTCGCTCGGCCGCGGCTGGCTCCTCGCGTCGCTGGCTGGAGTACTTCGGCGTCCTTGAGGGCCTGATGAGCTTCACTCGCCAGCTGTGCCTCGCCCCCAACAGCTTCCTCAAAGCTGATGGCGTTCATCACTTCATGTTCCCGTTCGAGTTTGGTGCGGCTCAGGGCTGCCTTGTGAGCGGCTCGGCATGGGTGGTCGCCATGGGCCCGCTCGTTCGCCACGTCGCCTCGCTCGTCAAGACCGACGACGGCATGCGTGACTGCGACAAGCGCTTCCTGGGCGGCTGCGCCGACGACGCTGGCCTCCTCGCGCTCTCGTTCGACACGCTGGGCGCCGACAGTGAGCCTTTGCCGCCGCTCAGGAGCTTGCGCCCCTCCCCATGAAGCCCCGCAAGTGGGTCGTCGTCCCGCTTTGGGCGAGTACCTTTCAGCTCATGCAGAGTGGCAGTGTTGCCACCGCTCGCCTTCGCAATACCTTAGTCGTTTCAACGCTCAGCTATTTCTCGCAGTTCGTTCCGCTCAATCAGAAGTTCGCCCGCAGTGAACATTGCATTTTCCATGGAATGCCCAATCCCCTGCCTGACACACTTCGCAAAGTAGATCTCGTTGCCGTAGCGGAATGGCGCCCGCCTCTTGTCCCGCGTTCAGCTCAGATTTCAGCCGTCGCCGCTGCCGTTCGCTCAGCCACTTTCACGCCCCGTGGGGAACGGGAGCCATTCTTCACTGCCGATCCGTTGCCAGCAGCTGCCGCGGCCGCGGCGAACCGCGCAGCTGCCGGTGTATTTCACGAGGCCCCGAGTGCTGAGCCACCGCGCCGCCCCAAGGTGCAGCGCGCGGTTGCGCTCGCGCTGCAACGGGCCTCCTTCTCATCGCCCCTCACAGTCATGCTCGTGAAGTGCATCGCAGCCTGGGGCTTTTCTCAGCCGCCTCCGTCCCCAGAGCTTGCTACGCGCTGCACTGCTCTCGCGAATGCCATGCGCTCCGTCCGCCCGAATTGGCGCTGGACGGTATATAAGACACTCGCAGGTGGATGGGCGACGACCTACAGCATGCACGCTCGCCTGCAGAAGTCGTGTGTGTTAGGGTGCCCAGCAGCGCCCGATTCATTCCCTCACTACCTCTCCCGCTCGGTCCTCCTGGGTCTCCTCTGCTCCCCCGACTCGCCCCACCTCCGCAGCACGCTTGCACTCTGGGGCTTTGGCCCCGGCGCAGCTTATCCGTCTGAGCCTGCGAACGAGATCTCGTTTACGCGGTCGATTCAGTGGATTGCGCTCGCATTTCACTGCTTTAACAAAATGAAGCGCGCCTCTCCGACCCCAGCTACGATAGCTGCAGGGTTGCGCGCCGTCAAAGCATTGCTCTGGAAGTAGACGCGCGGTAGACGGACTGGAGCGGACAGACTTCTTGCCCTCGTCTCGCTTCTTGCCCGCTTGCCCTCGTCTCTTCCTCTTTGGGTACGTGCACTCCTCCTCCTCCTCCTCCTCCTCCTCCTCCTCCTCCTCCTCCTCCTCCTCCTCCTCCTCCTCCTCCTCCCCCTCCTCCAGAACGGGTATTTTGACACGACTGCGGAGTCTCAGACCTCTGCCTTCCAATGGACACTTCCCGCAATGAAGCTACATTCTTGTAGGGACCTATGAAGATGCAACTTGGAGAAAGGATTGATTGCAACATCGTTTTGGGTTTGCACTGGTCCTCCTCCTCTTCCTCCTCCTCCTGTTCTCCCTTTGGGACGTTGATCGGACATGAAGAGCAGCTCTTGTTGCGTCCTATCCTCCTCCTCCTCCTCCCCCTCTTGCTCCTCCTTCTCCTTCTTCCTCCTCCTCGTCCTCCTCTTCCTCCTCCTCCTCCTCCTCCTCCTCCTCCTCCTCCTCCCCCTCCTCCTCCTCCTCCTCCTCCTCCTCCTCCTCCTCCTTCCCCTCCTATTCCTCCTCCTCCTCCACCTTCTCCTCCTCCATTCCGTTTCCTTATCAATAATTTCTCCCTGTCGCACCCCGAGGCAAGTTTTTAGAGCAGGCCGGGCGTTTTGCCTGAGACTTCCTTTCCATTTATGACTCTGAAGCGCAAACCAGAGGCAGCAGTTTCACAGATGGAGGGCGTGTGATTTTCAACATGTGGCTCTCGCCTTAGCGCCGCGCACATTCGTTTTCATCATTCGCAAGAGTTTCACGGACTGAGGGCGGGTGGTTTTCAAAATGTGGCTCTCGCCTTAGCGCCGCGCATATTCGTTTTGATTATTTGCAAGAATTTCACGGGTTGAAGGCGGGTCGTTTTCAAAATGTGGCTCGCGCTCGAGTGCCGCGCGTATTCGGTTTAACAGTTTGCAAGAGTTTCATGGATTGAGTGCGGGTTGTTTTCAACATGTGGCTCTCGCCTTAGCGCCGCGCGCATTCGTTTTAAACATCTGCAAGAGTTTCACGGATTGTGAGGGCGGGTCGTTTTCAAAATGTGGCTCTCGTTTTAGCGCCGCGCTTATTCGTTCTTAAAAATTGCAAGAACTTCACGCAATGAACGCGGTTCTTTCTCAAAATGTGGCTCTCGCTTTAGCGCCGCGCTCTTAGAAAATTGCAAGAGTTTCGCGGATTCCCATGATCGGCGTACCAAAAATGGCGTTTTGGACGGATTCAGGATTACGCGGGTGCAACAGTTATATTGGTTCGCGGTCTTGAATATCAAAAATAGCGTTTTGGCACGATTCCAGATCGTCAGGACGAAGCAGTCAGGTTGATCCGCGGCGCGGAAATCCCGAGAGCAAGTTTTGGGCATGCTGCAAGGTCTTCAAGCGGTTTTCTTCCAACGAGAGTGCCCTCAATGGAAACGAGCCGTTGTAGGGGCCTATGAAGAGGGAGCTTGGAGGGAGGGTTAATTCCAGCATCGTTGATGACTCTTGGGTTCAAACTGGTCCTCCTCCTGGTCCTTCTCCTGCTCGTCCTCCTCCTCCTCTTCCTCCTCCTCCTCCTCCTCCTCCTCCTCCTCCTCCTCCTCCTCCTCCTCCTCCTCCTCCCCCTCCCCCTCCCCCTCCCCCTCCCACTCCCCTCCCCCAGGACGTGCCCGCGCGCCGCCTCTGGTCCCCCCCGGCGGAGCAGCAGGCGCCCGAGCCCAGCCCCGCGCCGGAGGCGCCCTTGCCGCGCCGCCGCTCCGCTTCAGGGGCGCCGCGGCGGCTGCTCGCCCTCGCCCTCCTCGCCCCTCGTCTTCCTCGTCTTCGGCGCCCCCCGCTGCGCCCCCCTCCTCGTGCGTGAGTCCTCCTCGTCCTCGTCCTCCTCGTCCTCGCCCTCCTCGCCCTCCTCGTTCTCGTCCAACTCGTCGTCGTCTTCGTCCTCGTCCTCGTTGTCCTCGCCGCCCCCCCCTCCCCCACCGTGCCTGTTCTGTACTGCCCCCCCCTCCTCCCAAACTTCGACCTTTCCTCCTGCTGCGACGACGACGACGGCGAGGCAGAGGTAAGATGGGCAAGAGCTTCATGGATTGAGGGCAGCCAGTTTACAAAATGTGGCTCTCTTCCTGGCGACGCCTGCATTGGTCTTAAGAGTTAGCAAGAGTTTCGCGGATGGAGGGCGGTTCCTTTCCAACATGCGGGGGGGGGAGGAGGGGGCAACGGCTGCAGGTGCTGCCCCCCTTCAGCCTCAGGCCTCTGAGCGCCCTCGGAGGCCCTCCGGCGGCCCTCGGTGGCCATCCCCGCGGCCCTCTGGAAGCCCTCGGCGGCCACCTCGTGGCTGCCCCCCCCTTCGTGGCCCTCGTGCCTCGTGGTGCCTCCCCTCCCGGTGCCCCTCGTGCCTCGTGGTGCCTCGTGGTGCCTCGTGGTGCCTCGTGGTGCCTGGTGCCTCGTGGTACATCTCGTGCCCCATGGTGCCTCGTGGTGCCTCGTGGAGCCTCGTGATGCCCCTCGGTGCCCCTCGGTGCCTCGTGGTGCCTCGTGGTGCCTCGTGGTGCCTCGTGGTGCCTCGTGGTGCCTCGTGGCTGCCCCCCGCCCCCCGCGGGAGGCGAGCCCGCCGGTCGCAGCGATCGCAGTGGTCTCGGCGCCGTCGGCGCCAGCGTCCGCGCCGCCCCCTGGGCGCTTCCAGCGCAAGGCCGGGGCCCCGGGGAGCGCCGCCCCGCGGCCGCTCTGCGCAGCTGCTCGGCCCCGATCGGTCGGGGGGCGTCCAGGAGGGGGGGGGGGGACGAGGGCTAAGGGGGGGGGGCCCTGAGATCCGGGCGTTGCAGTTGTTGCCCGGCGTCGGGCCCCAGGACCATCACAGATCGATCCGGCCCGAGAGATGCTGCAGAAGGATGCTGTCTAGGGCTCCGGCCAGGAGGGGGGCGTGGGGGGTGGTGGAGCGGGGCCAGGACAGGGATGCGTCGTCCCAGAGCGCTCCGGAGCGCTCTAAGAGCGTTCCAGTTCGCTCTGAGGAGGCCGCGGCGCACGATACATCTCCCAGAAGCGCCAGATCTCAAAGATCCCCGACTTGTCCAGGTCCGCTTTTGTCTCTGTCCTGGCCTCGTCTCAGGTGGGCATCACGGCCAGGGCCATGAGATCTCCCAGATATCGTGGCCCCCTCTTCTTCTTTCAGCGCGTTCCCTGGCCCCCCCCCCTCTCGTCCGCACACGTCTCTCGGGCGCCGCAACCTGAGCCCCCGCCTCTTCTCAGAAGGGCAACATAAGCACAGACATACGTAAGAACGCGCTGATTTCCCCGATCTGCGAAAGTGGATCGGAAATCGAGGGAAAGAGGAACGCCCAGAGACAGTTGTGGGAAAGCAGGGGAGCAGGGGGAGTCCCGGACTCTTGGAGCATCGATTTTTGGTGCCTCCCTGGGCCTCTCTGCTCTCGGGCGCGCCACCCCCCCTTGCGTGCCCCCGACCTCGGGGGGGCTGCGGCTACATAGGTCGGTGCCGGGAGGCGCCGGCTGCCCGCCTGGCACCGCGCGCCCGGCCTTCGGAGTCGGTGCGCTGGTAGGGTTAAGTCCGACATGTCCCTCTGCAGGAGGAGTATTCCAAAATAGTGAATAGTCTGGGGACGATGCTTCGACCATCTTCGGCAATTGTTTTGCGTATCTCTCGTATTCTTGCATGATTCTTCCAGAAACCGCCTGTATCAGGCGATCGCAAATATGGATTAAGGGGGCGTGGATTAGCGACGGGTCCCGCTTCCACGGGAAACAGCGGATTTCCGCCGCCGAGCGAGGCGGCACCTTCCGCATGCTGGGGAGGGCACCTCCCCCGATCCATGGACTTGGCGACCGCGCGCCAAATCCATGGATCGCTAATCCATGTTTGCGCGCCCCCGATAGAAGGCCTCTGGCCTTCTGAGAAGCTTTCTGAGCCGTCGCTGGATCCACAGATGGCTTTCCAGAACGCTGAAATCCAACGTCGCGGAAAAAAAATGTATGACTGGAGCCCCAGACCCCATTTCTCGGATGCATTTTTCGAGGCGGATCGATCTGTGAGGGTCCTGGGGCCCGAAACCAGGCGAAAACGCCCGACTGTAGGAGGACATGCCCGACCTGATGCTGGCGCTGCCCGTCCCTCGTCGCCCCGGCTCGGTCCCTCCCTACAGGCTCCTTCTGATGCTCCGGCCTTTCCTCTGGCCTCGACCACCCGGAAGAGGATGTCGAGCTCCAGGAAGGCGCCCCAGCTCGAGGTTGACACCAACACCGATATCGGCGGCGTGCCTCCACCGAGGGAGGAAGATCCCGATCTCGGTGACGGTGGTGATATTCTGGCTTCCGAGGTGACCGAACTATTGCCACCAACACCGGAATCTAGGATCGTCTTCCCCCTGTGGAGGCAACCCCCTTTGTTGGTGGTATTGGAGCCCATTTCCAGGCCTCCAACAAACGGCGGGATTTCACGTGTCGGGCCCTGGGCGGCGACATTCATTCGACACTTCGCTGGCGTGTCGGGCAGACACTGCTTCGATGCACTCCTGGGTGCTCGAAATTACTTCTGGGATGTGGTTCAATGCGATGGGAGCAACATGACCCCAGACATGCGCGCGCGTCGAGAAAAATCACGGAGGGAGGTCTTTGGCCGTTTCGGCCTCCAAGGGCCCTCGCCGGGCCTTGGGGCCGTCGACGAAACGGCTCTTGGTGAGATGCAGACTTCCGCCGGGGGAGCCGTGTGGAAGAAATCACGACGTTGCACGCCTGGGTTTCGAGATCCTGGTTAGGGCGCGCCCCAGGAGGGGGCGCCCTGGGAGCGGCAGTATGCCGGTACCTTTTTGGTTCTCCGAAGTCCTGGCCAGGTCTGTCCAGGATCCGTGTGCGTGCACGGCCGGCGTCCGCCTGCGATACAGTCGACCCGCACAGGAAGCACGAGCGACTTGCCAAAGTTACCCTTGCATCCTTCCCTTTCGGCCCATCCTCGGCCACTTTCGCTGGCCAGCCCCACTCGAAAAACGTCAACATGGCTTTCCGAGGCATCCTTATCGCGCATCCTTACTATACTGGTTGACTGTGTGGATCGATCAGGTCGATCGGCCTTCCGGGCTCAGAGAGTCAGCAGGCTCAAAGTCTCAGCCTGCTTCCCCATGAGGCTCAGGTCTTGAGCCAAGGGGCTCAGGGCGCGCATTATGAGTCCATCGGCCCGAACCTGGAGCCTGGCGAGCAGCTGGGGATGGGTTCGCTCGATCATCTCGTCCAACCGATCGAACAGCCAGACCGGGTCGATCGATCGGCCCGGGTCGATCGAGCAGACGCCGTCGATGAGGTCAACTCGGTCGGCTCGGCCCCGTCGCCCGGGTCCGCCTTGCTCGGCTTCTCGCTTTTCTTTGTCTCTCACTCCCCCTCTTTTCTCGACTACGCGTAAGAGTGACCCTTCGCCGGGGTGACCTTTGGTGCGGGCCCACTGGGGTCTCCCGATCGCCGAGCGTGGTGCGGTGGTAGCGTCTTGCGCGCTTGTGTTTGGTCCCCCCGCGGCCCCCCAGAAGCCGCGCACCAAAGGGCACTCTTACCCAGGGTCACTACTCTTGCGTGTCGTCGATCTCCGATTTGGCCCAGATCAGATCGTCGACTCGATCGGCTGCCTCAGCCTCGGTCCCCTCGTCGGCCCCTCCTCCTCCCCCATGGCTTCTGCTGCTCCTCCTCCTCCTCGCAGTCCGGCGGCGCCTTGCGCCGTCGGCTCGGCTCGGGCCACTGCCGATGAGCCTATCATGAGCTTCCCAGCGCGGACGCCGGTGGCCATCCCCCGCCGCCCGCGCTTCCTAACGGCTGGACTCACGCGGCGTTGCGTTTCCGCTGTTGCAGCCTCTCGGTCTTATTCCCACGGCACACATCCAAGGCTCCATCCGGGAGGAGGAAGTGGAGGCGGGGGAGGAGGAGGAGGAGGAGGAGGAGGGGGAGGAGCAGGAGGAGCAGGAGGAGGAGGAGGAGGAGGAGGAGGAGGAGGAGGAGGAGGAAGAGGAGCAGGAGGAGGAGGAGGAGGAGGAGGAGGAGGAGGAGGAGGAGGAGGAGGAGTAAGATGAAGATGATGATGCTGCTGCTGATGATGTTGCTGATGATGATGATGCTTATGCTGATGATGCTGCTGATGATGCTGATGATGATGACGATTATGATGATAATGCTGCTGATGAAGCTGCTGACGATGATGATGATGACGATGAGGATGATGACGATGACGATGATGATGACGACGATGATGACGATGATGCTGCTGCTGATGATGATGTTGATGATGATGATGATGATGCTGATGCTGCTGCTGTTGATGATGATGCTGATGATGATGATGATGATGATGATGATGATGAGGAGGAGGAGGAGGATGAGGAGGATGTGGTGGAAAACTAATACTTTTAATAAGAACAATAATAATAAGACTAATCATACTAAGAATAATAATAAGAAGACGCATCATAAGAGGAGGAGGAGGAGGAGGAGGAAGAGGAGGAGGAGGAGGAGGAGGAGGAGGAGGAGAACGGGGAGGAGGAGGCGTGGGAGGAGCCCCCAGGGGGTGACCTCGATGCGTGGTCGGCGCATCGGGGCCCCTGGGGGAACTGAAATCCGCCAAGACGTCGCCTGCGCGGGGGCGGCGCGGCGGGCCAGGGGCGTCGGTGTCCTGACGGGCCTGGGGCGGCCCCCGCGTACTCTTGCGGTGGTTCCGCTGTGGTACGGGTCTGCTGTCTCAGGTCCCTCGGGGACCTTTCGTTCTGGGGCTGCGAGGGTACCCCCTCTGGGCCGGCGTGGATCTCGGTCCGCGTCGGCCTGCGTGGTACCTGCCTTTGTGGGGCCAGGCCCCAACCACTGTATTGGCCCTCCCGTGGCGTCGCGGGGTAAGGGTGTGGCTGGGGGGTCGGCCTGCGGGCGCGGCTCCAGACGTGTATCGCCTGGCCCCCCTTGGGCACTACCCGCGCGCGGAAACACGCGCTGTGTGCCCCGCACGGCGACGTGGGGTAAGCTGTGTCCCCTGGTGCTTGTAGAACTAGGGAGGCATGGGGGCCGCCCGCCTTCGGCGGGTCGGTGGTGTTCATCACGATCTGCGTGGTGAGCCTGGCGCCTTTTCTATTGCTTCCTCTTTTCGTCCTCTTGCTCCCCCTTTCGCGCCTCGCCAGGTAGGTGCGGCCCCTAGCTCTAGGGGGTCGCGCGGCGGTGGGCGCGAGACTCATGGCCCGCAACTCGTGCGCAGCAGGAGGGGAGGAGGAGTCGGAGGAGGAGGAGGAGGAGGAGGAGGAGGAGGAGGAGGAGGAGGAGGAGGAGGAGGATGATGATGCTGATGCTGATGATGCTGATGAGGATGATGATGATGATGATGCTGATGACGATGAGGATGAGGGGATGATGATGATGATGGTGATGATGATGGTGATGATGGATGATGATGATGATGATGATGATGATGATGATGATGATGATGATGATGATGATGATGATGATGATGATGATGATGATGATGGTGGTGATGATGATGATGATGATGATGATGATGATGATGATGATGATGATGATGATGCTGATGAGAAGGAGGAGGAGGATTTGGAGAAGGATTGGGAGGAGGAGGAGGAGGACGAGGAGGAGTCCTTTGTCGGTCTCCGGCCTTGTGTCTCTCTGTCTGTCGTCTGTGGTTTGTTGTCTGTGGTCCGCCGTCTGTCGGCCGGGTGCGGGGCCCTGGGGGGGCTGCTGCTCTGGGAGGCGAGGAGCGGCAGACCACGCCTTAGCCGACAGGTCCCCACTCCAGAGGAGGAGGAGGAGGAGGAGGAGGAGGAGGAGGAGGAGGAGGAGGAGGGGAGGCGGAGGAGAGGAGAGGGGGAGGAGGAGGAGAGGAGGAGGAGGAGGAGAGGAGGAGGGGGAGGAGGAGGAGAGGAGGAGGAGGAGGAGGAGGAGGAGGAGGAGGAGGAGGAGGAGGAGGAGGAGGAGGAGGAGGAGGAGGAGGAGGAGGAGGAGGGGGAGGAGGATCAGGAGAAACATTCAGTTAGGCAGCTCTGCCACAACCGCTTGCGCACCTCGAAATACATCGTTGCACACCCGGCGTCCCGAGTCGAGACATGTGTTAAAGGAGGGCTTGGCGGCAGAACATCGGCAAAGAAAAAAGGGAGCGCAAAAAGTCGTTTTGCTTGAACCCATGAAGAGGGATCTTGGAGGGAGAGTGTACTGCAACATCGTCCATGAGTCTTGAGTTTACACTGGTCCTCCTCCTCCTCCTCCTCCTCCTCCTCCTCCTCCCTCCCAGTCTCCCAGTCCTCCTCCCTGTCCTCCCAGTCTCCTCCTCCTCCTCCTCTCCTCCTCCCTCTCTCCTCCTCCTCCTCCTCCTCCTCCTCCTCCTCCTCCTCCTCCTCCTCCTCCTCCTGTCGTGTCTGCCTGTTGCTCCTTCGCAGCGCAAGCGTGCGTAATCGGGGTTTGGCTGGCGTTCCCGGACCTCTCCTCTGCTGGTGGTGTTGTCGCCTTCTTCTTTTCCTCCGTTTCTCTCTTCATTGTCGTCCTCCTCCGCGCCCACTGTGCTCAATCACGCTTTGCCCGCGAACCTGTTGGTATTATGTTTTCGTCTGCCCGCGTCGCGCAGACGCCCCCCTACGTCAGAGGCTCGCGGAGAAACGCGGGCGTGCATATTCTTTCCTTCAGTGGTGGACCAGGATTCCGTTTCACAGGATGTCTCTAAACGTTGTGATGCCACCCCGCTCCGTTCCGCTTCAGGGGATGATTTTCGAAACGCGCTATTGGGATTGGTTCTGGTAGCAGTGCTCATTCAGATCGTGCTGCTTTTCTATACGTTTTGATTCAAGAGGCTTTCGCCATCCCGCCGGCCGCCACAGCAGCGAATTTGCCAAGAGTCGTGCCACCGTGCCTGGCCTGGGTCAGGAGCCCCGGGGATGCATGTGAGGGTTTTGGGACCCCTTGGGCCGTAGGGGACGCCGTCAAAACGAAAAGGCGTGTTTGTCGAACATGGCACGTTTCCCAACAGGAATTGGGCGATCTTTACATCTTGGGGCCCTCACGGCGGTCCTCTGGGAGCACTATTGGGCCGCCTCGGGCGGCTCGCAGGCCGTTCCGAAGCCGCTTTGGACCGTCGCGGGGCTGCCTGGGCCGTTCCGACGGTCTCTTGGACTGTCTCGGCCCTCGTCGGGGCCATCCTGGAGCTCGTCGGATGCTCCCCGGCGAGCCCCCGGGGTGCGCTGGGGAGCTCGTGCCACGCCCCGCTTGCCCCCCCCCCCCCCCCAGTGCGATTTCTGGCCCAGGGGAGGGGGAAGGGGGGGGATGGGGGACAGCCGATCTTGCAACACGGCTTCTCACCCTCGGCAAGCGGGTCCGGCGGATGTTGTTGGTGCCTCGGGAGGTCGGCTTTCGCGGCGGCCATGTGCGGGGGTGGCTTGCATCTGTGGGGTGGTCGCGCGTCTGGTAGATGCGCACACGTGTTCGTGTGTTTCGCCCCTCGTGGTCGGCGCAGTTTTCTCTGAGCGGTAACCCCGCGTGGTTTTCGGAGGCCCTCGGACCCCTCCCGGGCCTCCCTCGCGCTCCTCTTTTGCGTCCCCTCATTCGTCCTCCTGAAGAGCGAGGAGAGGAATGGATTCTCGCCGCAGCATACGGTGGCTCGCGTGGCGCATACGTATTCGTGGCTACGAATGCGCCCTGTACGCTCACACGCTTTTGCCGCGGCTTCGAGAGCTTCGATCTCCTCCCGTAAGTGTTTGGCTCTCTCCGAGCGGGTCCATCTACACTCTCACGACACATTTGCATACGCATGCCTATCAGTTGCGTCCCGCACTCGTTCACAGTTCTCTTGTGTGAACAGGGGTTTCTCTGCTTGTCGGTATCAGCCGTGACGGCGTTTGTGAGTTTGTCATGTCTGACCTGGCATTATTATTTTCAGCGCCCGACTTCGATCCCCAGACCGCCCGTCCAAGGTTGGGCGATTATCCAGTGGCCTTCAGCTCATCCCGCCACCGTGCCTATGCCCCCTGGGGTCTCTTGGGGGTGCCTCTTGGGGGGCCTTTTGAAGACGACCTCTTGGGTCCTCTTGCGGCCTCTTGCGGGCCTCTCGGGTGCATCGTGGGAGCCTTTTGGAGACCTCTTGGGGCCTCTCGGGCGACTCTAAGGGTCTCTTGGCGCTCTCAAGGGCCGTCTTGGCACAATGGGGCTCGTGGGGCCAGTTCGGGTCCCCCCTCCCTGGGGCGGACGGGCAGTTTGCATGCCAATGATTTTTCAAGTGTTTTGGCGTCGGGAAGAGTCACGCGAGGCGCCCTGAGAGCCACGCGCCACGCCCCAGGAGATCTTCGAGTTGGGGGTCTGGGGGTCGGGGTCCCTTGAAGAGTGTTTCGGAGACTCAGTTCAGAAAGCTCGAATGGATCTGAGGATCCTGCACTTCGTGCCCACGGCACGGTGGTGCACTGGAAAAGGGGGGGGGGGAAAGGGAGGAGAGGAGGTGGAGAGCGGGCAGGAGCCAGGGGAGGGGCAGTGGGAGAAGGGGAGGAAGGGGGGGGCGGAGAGTGAGGGTCGTCTCTCCTTCCGTGCTCCTGTACAGGAGAGCCGTTACTCGTCGCCTTCCCCCCCCAGCCTCCTCCTCCTCCTCCTCCTCCTCCTCCTCCTCCTCCGCCTCCGCCTCCTCCGCTCCCCTGCCAGCCTGCCTTGCCATGCCCTGCCGAGCCACCCTCCCCTCCGAGAGAGGTCGCCAGCGCGCCCTCGCACAAGCGCAGGCCGCCGCCGCTGACGTGCCTGGAGGCCGCTGCGGCGCCAGCCGCCGCGGCGACGGCGGCGACGACGGCGACGGAGAGGGCGACGGTGATGGCGGCAATGGCGACGGCGACGATCGCCATGAAGGAAAAACGGGCTCTGAGGGAGACGGGCCACGAGTCTTCTCGCCGTTATCGGGCGCTCGGGGCCCTCCGCGGGCCTCGGAGCCGTGAGCAAGCGCGACTCAGGACGAGTAGTTGGTTTTGGGGTGGGGCGCCCGCTCGGCAGGAGGCGCGGCGGCGCCGCGCGCTCCCGAGGCCAGGCTCGGCAGCTCGCGCAGCGACGCTCTGCCGCGTCACCTGTGGCGCGCCTCGCCTCCCCGCGAGGTTCGCTGTCTGCTCCTGGGAGCCTTGTGCGGGGGAGAGCCTCATGGGGTCCAGGGCCCGTTTCCCTGAGGACCCGTTGCTTTCCTCCTTTTCCTCCTCCTCCTCCTCCTCCTCCTCCTCGTCCTCCTCCTCCTCCTCCTCCTCCTCCTCCTCCTCCTCCTCCTCCTCCTCCTCCTCCTCCTCCTCTTCCTCCCCCGTAGCCATTAGGGCTCAAGTACGAAACCGTGGCCCTGGGGCTTCGTACTTGCCTGCAGCCGAGGGGCTGGCTCGAGGCGAGCTGGCCCACAGCAGGCCTCCGAGGGTGGCAGGGCAGCCCCTGCCTCAGGCCCTCCACCCTTCGGCTTTCGGCATCTGTCGGTTTGGAGCCCGCGCTCCGCCCGCAACCACAATCTCTCCAGCCAGGCTGTTCTTTGGCACTCTCGCCCTCGTCAGTGCAGCGCCATGGTTTCCCGCGGCAAGTACCTGGTGTGCCCCCGCGCCAAGTGCCGCGGGTGGGAATGGGCGCCTGCCAAGGCTTGCTCGCAGTGCGGCTCGCACCTCCAGGCCCTCGGCCAACGGAGTCGGACGAGCAGCCAGCAACCCTCCCACCCGCCCCGCACCAGTGGCCGAGGAGGCAGGGGCGTTGCATGGGAACCTCGAGCACGCTTTGTGGACGACGGTAAGGAGGAGCAGCCATCGCAACAACAAGCGCCTGACAAAGATCCTGGAGCCCCCGCCCAACCTGACCCAGTCGCACTGGCTCAGGCCCAAGTCACCTTCTGGAAGAAGTGGGTCGGTGTGCAGGGCAAAGAGTACTCCGACGCTCTGGAGGTACTCAAGCACGCGAAGATGGAAGCGCTGCGAGGCAAGAGCCTCGACAAGCAGGCCCAGCCACTGCACGGCCAAGTGCAGATCACCGGGCAGAAAATGGAGGGCTTCCAGCACGAACTCACTGACATCGCGGCGCAGATCACGTCCCTGGCCACCCAGAACAAGACGCGCTCCAAGAAGCTCGCGGACACGAAGGACGAGCCGCAGCAGCTCGAGGCGCAGCGGGCCATAGCGGCCCACGCGGCAGCGCAGCAGGCATCCGAGAACGCCGACATGTCTGAGATGGTCTGCGCGGCTCTGCAGGCGAAGATCCCGCCAGAAGGAGTCGCCCCGCCAGCTTTGCAGGCCAAGCTGCAGGACCTGACCACTACCTTCGACCAGCTCAAGATGCAGCACGATAGCGCAGTGGCGGACAGCGCTTCGCCGTCGCCGATGCCGGCCCCGCCGCTGCCAGCGCCCACCCAGCCCCCGCCGCCTCTCTCGGCACCAGCGCCAGGGAGTCTGCATGACGGCATGGCCAAACCAGTTGGCCCAGACTCAGAGGAGGAGGACGAGGCCAAGGCCTCCGTGGGCTGGGGCAGCGGCGACAAGCGCGCCCTGGACGAGGTCGCCAATCTCATAGAGCAGAACAAGGACGAGGAGGCGGCGAAGCGACTCTGCGTGGCCACAAACGCTGGCCAGCCAGGAGAAGATAAGTCGCCTCTTTGGCGTCAGCAAGCTAGTAACCTTCAATGACAGCTGCTGGCCAACTTTCGAGCAGTTCGTTGAGTCGCAGTGGGTGAATGATGTGACGCTGATCTGCGCCCAGGAACACAGGCTATGCGATGGGGGCACCATTGCCAAGAAGGCCCAGTGGTGCCAGCAGAGGGGATGACTGGTGCACATCCCGCCAGCCAGTTTCACTGACAACGGGGAGCGCGTCAACGGATTGGCCGTCCTCGTCCGCGACGGGCTCGACCTGGGGGTTGGGCCGATGAATGTCGAGAGCCGCGTTGACAAGAGCCGCCTCGCAGGTGTCTGCCTGGAGGCCCCAGGCTTGCCGAAGGTCGGCCCCATGAGCGCGTATTTCCTTGCCTCCGAGGGCCCAGGTGAGACCAGCCTGGGCCTGCTAGCCGACATTGCGGTCCAACAGGACAGACTCCGTCCACCCATCATTGTGGCGGGGGGCCTCAACCTGTCCCCCTCGGACAGCCAAATGGAACAGTGTTTGGGATTTCTTCCTGGCCAGCGACGCCCTGGGCGAGTGGGCGGAGAAAGTTCAGACTTTGACCAGGTGCCCGCTGTCTCCTCACAGGCTGGTTTGTCTGGACTTTCTAGGCGACGATCGTTTTCTTGTGCCAGCCCTGAAGAAGCCCCAGCTGCTTCCTTCAGCCAAACCGTTCGGCCCGTCTAAGAGGCCAACCAGCTGGACCCAACGCGAGAGTGTGATTAGCTATGCCAATTCTGTGCTCCATGATGCGGCTACGCCTCTCGGAATTCCACGGCGCCAGGCTATTTTGGATTACTGCTATTTCATGGTGGTAAAGGACCTTGAGCAGTCCCTCAGCAGCCTCACGGATACCCCTCTTAGACACTCTGCGGCCCCACGTGCGAGCCACCCAGTGGTCAAATGGGTACGTGCCAAACGCCGTGGTACTAGAGTTCGCGCTGGTCGGAAGTCTCTGGAGGCCCCGCTTCGATGGCTTCGATGCCGTCTCGCAGGCATCAAGTTCGTCGTTTCGAAGGCGGACACTAACCTGTTAGAGTATTTGGTGGCGGGCCTGCAGCCGTTGGCGACGACGTCGCAGCTCGAAGAACTTCCCCTTGCAGACGCGGCCGCTCGAGTGCTATCCGCGGGCGCAGCCGGCCAGGCTATAAGCGACATTCTCCAGGACCTGGGCCAAGCCATAGACGGCGAACGGAAACAGCAACGTTCCGAATCGGCCAAAGCCTGGGCCTCGTGGGTCCAAAGTTCCCTCCAGGGAGGAGTCGGCTGGGCCCGCAGATGGACGAGGGGCTTGGAGGCCTGGAAGCCAGCATCAACCCTCGTCAAGGGGCGATGGTCAGGTCGCCCAAGCAGCATTCTAGAAGGGGAAGCCGACCGACTTGCCAGTATCTGGTCAAGCCACAAGGTAACCCAGTTCCAAGGGACATCGATGACAGAATAGCCCTGGGACCGATGGACGGCAAGACCCTTCAGGAAGCAGCTGGGGGTTTTTCAGTGACGACAGCCTCAACGTGGGGCGGGGTCCACCCGCGGCATCTCGCGTTCACCGCCGAGCAGCGGGCCGACATTGTCGCGCAGCTGTTGTTCCTCATCGAGAGCCTAGATTTCATGCCCTCGCATATACAGGCAACTATCTCAGTGCGTATCATGAAGCACAAGCCGCAAGATCCGCAGGCAACGCGACCAGCAATGCGATCGATCGGAATGGTGTCAGGCCTGTATCGCGCTTGGGCTAGACTAAGACAGCCGGCAACGGGAGAATGGGAACGGAATCGCAGGCGCCCATTCCTCGCTCACCAAGCAGGGCATTCCATAGTGGAGCTAGTTTTCAAGCAGAGGCTAGATTGCGAGTGTTACTCCAAGCGTAACGAACAACTACATTCAGCCATGCTTCCCTACGACCTCAACAACTACTGTGAACACGTTAGCCGTAGCAAGCTTGCTACCCGAGACCTTCGCAGTGGCTTCCCCGCCACCCTGCTCAGGATCAGCCTGGGGATTTATGCGGGCCCCAGATGTGCAGGACTCCAGGGCCTCGTGATGTCGGTGGGTCACACAGTACATGGCATAGCAGTGGGGTGTGGGTTTGCAACATACCTCGTACAGATGTACACGATAGACTCCCTGGACTCCTGGGCCCAGCAGAACCCCTATGTAGACCTCTACATGTTCATACACGAGATCCTCGTAAATAATCATGGCTACAAGATCTGCCGCATCGCCAGCCGCCTGAACCACGGCACCCAGAGCTTGCTAGATAGCATCCAGACCGATCTTGACAGCAAGATCGCTCCCGCCAAGGCTCAGCTCTTCGCTTCTTCAGACTAATTGCGCCGCCAAGTGCAGCGCAGACTGTAAACCCGAGCAGGCAGCACAACGGACAGTTCGGGACCCACCCTCGGCTGCGAGACCGCAGCAGGCGCCCCCCAGCGCAGGTGGAGAAAGGATCGAGTAGCCAAAGCCAGGATGGACATAATCAAGAAGAGGGTGAGGAGACTTGGAGCCATCAGGAAAGCTGGAAGGGGATGCGCTCTAGATCTACAACACGGGCATATTTGCGGCAGCCTCTTTCGGCCACGAGGTCACGGGCCTCGACGACAGCCAGCTGGCCACCCTCAGCAGCAGTATTTAAAAATAGCAGGACCCAACTGTGCTACGAGAAGCAGATGCCTGAGCCTCCTTCTGATCGGTGACCCCGCGTGGAAACTAGCCCTCGGGCCCGCTCCCGCTTGGCATTTATTAGCGTGGTCGGCCACCGCCCTCCGCGCGAAGGGAGAGGCCCTGATGGGCCAGCCCCTCTCGCGCTGGGGCAGTGTTCGGGGCCCCTTCGCCGCTTTAATGCTGTCCTCGCATCGCGTGGGCTGGGCCCTGGTTCCCCCTTTTGTTTTTCAAGCCTCGGGGGGGCAGCAATGTCCTCCAACGTGTTTCTCGTCGGCCTTTGTGCAGCGGAAAATGCAGCAAGCCTGGCAGCAGCAGCTTAGAGAGCGAGCTGCTAGCAAGCTTGGTCACGCAGGCTCACAGGTGGATGCCCAAGTTGCCGCGAGTGTCCTCGCCGGCCCCGGTTTAACCAAGCAGGAGCGTGGCAGTCTTCTAATTTCCCTCGCGCAAGGCATCTGGGCAAAGTCCAGGGCCATAGATGCAGGGTGTGATATAGACACCCAGTGCGAATGCGGATCCCCAAACGACCCACTGCATCACCGTTTGTTCCAGTGCGCCATCCCGCAGGGGGGGGCGAGATAGAGCCGCGTCGTCAGGAGAGCAGGATCTCATCCTTCAAGGACATGATCCGTTCCTAAAGTTCGGTTTCCAGATCAGGCTTGGTTTTGACGTTTGCCCCCCGATCGGAACAGGGCTGACGCATTGCCAGTTTTGGTGCGTAGACCCCGACGTCAGCCTGGGGGAAACTTTCTCAGGGCCAGTATACGTGGATGGCAGATGCGACAACTCGAGACACCCATCTTTCCAGTCGGCTGGCTGGGCCGTAGTCAGCATGAGAAACGAGGCGCCCTTCGCGGTTTTGTCAGGCCAGGTGGGCAACCTGTGCACCCAGAGCTCGGGTGAGGCGGAGATGCTTGCAATCATAGCTGCGTGCACCATCTCGCCCTTAGTTGCCCAGGTCCACGCGGGCTACAGAGGTGCCATTGACATCTTTCAGTCTCCTGGATATCCCAGGAAGAATCAACATGCAGGGCTCAAGGTTCTCGCTGGCAAAGCTGTCGTGCTGCCGTCTACTTGTCTCGTGAAGGTGAAAGCCCACTAGAATCGAACCCAGGAGTTTGACAGCAATGATGATTATAACCGTGGTTTAGGTAACGATGCCGCGGACAAAGCAGCCAAGCGAGCCGCAGCAAACCTTGGTCAGCCATCCCAGTCGGAGCTGGAGCATTGTAGTTTCGACCAAAGCATGCTGCGACGGTTCTTTTGTTTTATGTTGCTAGGGTCCTTCCTAAGTGGCCAGCGCTGGCCACGAAAGCGGGCGAGAAGTCCTCGGGCCGTCCAGCCAGTATGAATCCGCCCATCGGAGCAGCCTCGGCTGAATATGCCTGGGACCCTGGGGCCGTCCCTCCTCCTCCGAGGCCTCCTCGCCTCCGCCCCCCCGAGCCCCCGCGGCCCGTGGGCGAGCTCCACCGTTGGGAATCTATCCGCGGCGCGCTTATTTGCACCCTATGCCGAGTCAGGGCCAAGACCCAGGACCAGTGCCCCAAGCGCCTAGATGAAACATGTCCTGGGTATTGCGCGGGCCTAGCCTCGCCAGAGCAAAGACCCAGAGGCCATCAGTTTTTGATTTAGAGTACGCGCACAATTCCAGCACGATGATTATTTGTCGCTCCTGCGGGCCATATTCGGAAGCAGGCGCCCGCGGCCGTTTAACTCTCGTCGAACAAGTCAAGAAGCCAGCTAGCCCGCGCTCTGGAGCTAAGACGCCCGAGGAGTGGAAGGGAATCTGCCCCCGTTTTTGCGCCTCCAGAGCCACGCGAGCAATTTTATCGAAGAGCCATCGAAGCTGCGCAACAACTGCCCAGCGAGGCAGATCAAGCCCAGGTGCAGACAGGCCCACGCCAGGGATGAGGCTTGCCCACCGTCCTGGCGTCCTTTACACCAGGGGTGGGCAGTGCCGAGTCGCCCTGGCATCGCCTCACTCTTTGTGTACATGTGCGCGTGTGCGTGCGCGCTCCCCGCGCGCGTGTCAGGCACCCCGCTTCATGGGGGAACGAGCGCCCACTCACTTTCCTGCGGCGCAGGCCGCAGACACGCCTCGGCGCGATGCAGGTTCGAGCTGGGGTTTTGTTTCTCGCTCCGGCTGGCGGTGCAGGTTACGCAGCCTGTCCTAGTACCCGAGCTTTGGGGTACCGGCAGCCTGTCGAGACATGCCGTCCTTTTCACTGCGGAGTGCCGTGGTGACCTACTGTGTGCTGTATGTGTGCGCGCGCGTGTGGGCCCTGCACGCGTGCCAGGCACCCCGCCTCAGGGGGAAGGAACGCCGCGCACTTCTTTCTCCCTCCTGTCTCGACGGTGCTGGTTACGCAGCCAGCCTTGTACCCGAGCCTTGGGGTACCGTCAACCAGGAGGGATCTCAAGGGGGCCCCTGACCACGGGGGTGGACTCGGGTTGCCAGGCCGCCCAGACCGTGGCTCAACCCCCCTCTCGGTGCTGCTGCGGCCCAGTGTGCAATGCCACACCAGGCCCCAGCACCGTGTTCAGCGTCGGTAGCACATTGCCGTCTCAGCGGCCGATGCCGCTGTGGAGTACAACGTGTGTCCCAGTGCCACGAGGTTTCGGCTTAGGGTCGGGTCGGCCAACCCCTAGCCTCCCCTGTAGCCACGTGATGGTCCTCCTTCTCCTCCTCCTCCTCTTCCTCCTCCTCCTCCGCCAGGAGGGAGCGGACGGGGAGAGGTGCGTCGGAGGGTGTGGCCGGCGGCGTGCGTGGGGCGTGCGTGCCTCTCGCTCGCTGCGGAGCAGGCTCGCCGCCGCGCCTCGTGCTCGCCGGGGGGGGGGGGCCTCTCCCGCATCATCGCGCGTGCCGGCGGGTCGCTTAGCGTGTCGCGCCGCTGGCCCTGGCCCACCACGCTTCGGCGCGACACGCTATCTACCTCCCAGCCCCCGGCCATCAGCGTCCCGCGCTGTTCCGAGCCTCCAGCCCCGCGGAGCGGAGCGACGCGCTATCCGCTCACAGGGCGCAGCGCGTCGCCGTAGCCGCCGCCGCGACGTGCCAGGCAAGAGCTCCCGGCCGACAGCCTGGTGCTCCTCTGGTGCTGGAGGTCGCGCGTCACGGTGGTCGCGTGCTGTGGACTCGAGAGTCACTTGGCGTTCCAGGCCCGGTGAGCAGTCGGCCTCGTCTTCCCCCTGGTGACCGTGGGGGAATTTGCAAATCGAAGTCGCCGCGCCGATCATGTCTGGCCACCATCCCGTGTTCTCGTGATCTCCCTGCGCTGGGAGCACGGCAGGCTTTGCGGGGGAGGGGGTGCGGACTGCATGGAAGGAGGGAGTATGCGAACCGAGGTTCGCCTTCTCGAGGCCAGTGCCGATGTTTTCCGAGGGTGGGTGGGTGGGGGGTGCCCGTGCCAGGGTCCCTCTCGATCCGATCGATCCCATGCCATGCCGATCTCTTCCAGCTCGGTTCGATTCGATTCGATCCCGAATTCCCGTCGAATCGATGCGGCCCGATGCTCTCGCACGGCGCTGCTGTGAATCCTGGCGCAGCCGATCCGACTCGATTTCGACCCCGTGCCGATGCAGCCCGATCCGATGGACATTCGGGTTCGATCCGATCTGCCGATCCACCGCTGGCTGATCCGGCCATGCCAGTGGATCAGTCCTTCATACTCGTACTCGTGGATCCAGAGGATTCACGGATGGATCCCGCAGCTCCACCGCCGGCTGGTTCCGCCGAGAACGAAGGACTGGGAACGAAGGATTCACTGCTTGCCGATTCCACCCTTCGTTCCCAGGCCTTCGTGTTCGTGCTCCTGGTCCCTGCTCCTGCTCGCCCGCTTCTGCCCAGCGGCTCCCCCCAGGGCCCAGTCCTGCTCTGTCGCTCCGTCGCTCCCGCCCTGCGATTTTCTCCCCAGGGCTCGTCCTGAACTGTGTCTTGGCGATCTCGTGGACCGTTTGCGTTTTGATCTCGTTTTGCAGCACAGGCGGAGCGAAGACAACACGAGGGGAACACGAACACAGGACGAAAGCCTAAAACACTGTTTAGGTCGATCCCTGCTTATGTTTCCCCCCACCCCTCTCTTCCAGGCTGGGTCCCCCGCGCTGCAGCCGCAGACTGCGGCCGCGCTGCCGTCCTTTGCTGCCACGTGGCACGGATCGACAGCGGCTCCAACACAGCCGCAGACGGCACCAGCGGTCTGCATGGGATCGGGGGGGGAAAGGGAGGAGGATTGGGAAGAGGAATTTTGGTGGTCGCCGCAGCAGCATCATCGGCCGCTCGTCGTCTGCTTCCTGGTCACGAATCGTCTCATTAACGACCTAGACATTGAGAAACGGCCCACTGAGCATTGGTGCTATCACCTCGTTGGCAGCATCCTTGCAGTATCCAGTTTACCAGTTTATTGGCCGCCGACGCCGCTAATGCGGTCGCAACTAATGTTCCGCGTTCGCCGCTGGTGTCGCTGGACTACTTCGAGTCCATCCTGAAGGTCTTCAATGGGCGCAGTACCACTGGGCCTGCAGGTGTGGGTTTGGTCACCGAGAGCGTCGTTGCAGCCCAGATGTGGGAACGAACGCCCTCCAATGCTCAGCAACTGGCTGACATGGAGCAGCCTGACCATGCTCTCGGGCCCTCGCGCGACAGCCTGGTCTCCTGATCCTCCCACTATTGCGTGGTGGATTTGTTCAAACCGATCCTCTTTCGTCATCGCAGCCGACGCGCTCCCATGTTGCTCATGCAAAGATGCTTTCGCATCGCGCACAAGACTGGTAGCAGTGACAGCGCCACTATCGGTATTGCTATCCGCGGCAGTGGCAGAACCAGTGTCAGTATCAGCATCAGTAACAGGATGGCCAGTAGCAGTAGGGCGATCAGTGCCAGTACCAGTGGCAGTAGCTTTAGCAGCAGCCGTAGCAGTGGCCGTCGCAGTCGTAGTTCAGGTAAATGTGCAAGTGCTTGTGCAGTCGGACATAGTGATAGTTGTCCGTGTAGGGATTCTTGTTGTCGGCCTCCGCATCATGTTGCCCTCATCAGACAGCTTTCGGAACGTCGCGCCAGGCTGCGACATGTATAGCAGCTGTACCCTCCCTTACCTGAGCTACCCACCTAACCTGCCCCGGACCCTGGTGACATCCGGCCTGGCCCACGTGCAATGAGCGTGACACTTGCATTCTGGCCACGCGTTTGTCTCGGAACGGTAAATGGCCCGCATAGTTGCACGCGTGCGTGCGTCCAACCGAGGCGACCTGCATGCATTCTCCAACAGCAAGCGCACCAGTTAGGTGCTCCCGTCTACTCAGTTGTGCCGGATCGGCCGCCCGGGGCCGCCGGCGCGCGCGCGAGCGCGGACAAGGGACCGCATATGCGGCTGCGAGAGAGGAGGCGGATGTGGAGGAGGAGGCGGCGGAGGAGGAGGCGGAGGAGGAGGAGGAAGAGGAGGAGAAGGAGGAGGAGGCGTCGGACAAGGAGGCGGAGGAGGAAGAGGAGGAGGAGGAGAAGGTGGTGGGCGAGGAGGCGGAGGAGGAGGAGGAGGGGAAGGCGGTGGCAGTGGAGGAGCAGGAGGAGGAGGAGGAGGAGGAGGGGGATGGAGAGGGGGAAGGGGACGGAGCGAGGAAGGAGAAGAGGATTCATGGGAGAGGTGAGGATGGAGGAGTGCGAGGGGCAAGATAGACGCGCTCGCGCAATTCGGGTCTGACGAAAGAAGGGGGACATGGAAATGAGGCTTATGACATCTGCTGCATGCGGCTGGTTCCGGCCTTACCGCCGGGCATTTTCCTCGATCCATTGGCGTCTACGGCGCTGGAGTTGTTTCGCCAATCCCCATTTTCGTTCCCCCCTTGATCGTCCGATCCGAGCCATGTCTGACATCCTCCCCCTGAGGCCGTGTCACTTGAATGGCGCCTTAGAGCGCGAGGGGGCAAAGGGATTTGGAGGCGCGGAGGCGCAATTCCGCCTCTTCGCCGTCGTCGTCGTCCTCCTTCTGCCCTTTTTTTCTCTTCGTCGTCCTCAACGATTTCGTCCTCGGCGTCTTCTCTCTCTCTCTCTCTCTCTCTCTCTCCCCGTCATGATCCTCATTATTTTCTTATATGTCCTCGTCCTCACATCCTGTTTCCCCTCCTCTCCTTTTCCACGCTCTTCTCCTCCTCCCTCCTCCTCATCCTCTCTCCTCGCTCCTCCTCCTCCTTCTCATCCTCATCCTCCTCCTCCTCCTCCCTCCCTCCCTCCCTCCCTCCCTCCCTCCTCCTCCTGCGAGGGGCAACGTTAGGGCTTCACAGTCGTGGGGCGGCCCTCCTGTTGAGGGAGGATGAGAGTGGGGTTGTTAAAAGGGCGCAGTCGTGGGGCGTTGCTCGCCTGCCTCTCATTGTGAGAGGGGGGTGGGCAAGCTTCAAAGTCTGAGGGGAAGGGATGAATTGCCACTTAGTGGTGGGGGGACAAGTGACAGCGAAGGGCAAAGGTAAGAGTTTGGCGATAATAAGGCTTCACAGTCGTGGGGCGGCCCTCCTGTTGAGGGAGGATGAGAGTAGGGTAGTTAAGCGGGCTTCACAGTCGTGGAGCGGCCCCCCTCCAGAAGGAGGACGGTGGCGCATTCCATATAACGGGCTTCACAGTCGTGGGCCGTGTCTCGCCTGGTAGGCATCCGTAGGTAGATTACATAGTTGTAGTTCCCATTTGACACAGAGGGGAGTAGTAAGGTAGGCGCAGTAGTTGCCATGTTGTTCGTGCGCAAGCCATAGTTGATACCAAAGCACAATGCGATGCGGTTGCGATGTGATGCTATGCGACCCGCATTCCAGCCTTCCAGCCCTTATGCCCCATGGCCTATGGCCGATGGGGCGGTCCTCCCAGAGGGCAGGCGCATGGCACACGCAGTCCCAGCTCTGGGCTATGGGACACGCAGCCCTGATTAATTAAATGGGACGCGCAGTCTCGATTATGGGACACACAGTCCTGGCAAATGGGACGCACAGTCCCTGTCATGGGACACGCAGTCCTGGCAAATGGGACGCGCAGTCCCTGCTAGGGGACACACATTCCTGGCAAATGGGACGCGGAGTCTCGATTATGGGACACACAGTCCTGGCAAATGGGACGCACAGTCCCTGGTATGGGACACGCAGTCCTGGAACGCGCAGTCCCCACTATGGGACACACATTCCTGGCGAATGGGACGCGCAGTCTCGATTATGGGACACACTGTCCTGGCAAATGGGACGCGCAGTCCCTGTTATGGGACACGCAGTCCTGGCAAATGGGACGCGCAGTCCCTGCTATGGGACACACATTCCTGGCACATGGGACGCGCAGTCTCGATCATGGGACACACAGTCCTGGCACATGGGACGCACAGTCCCTGTAATGGAACACGCAGTCCTGGCAAATGGGACGCGCAGCCCCTGCTATGGGACACACATTCCTGGCAAATGGGACGCGCAGTCCGTGCTATGGGACACAGTCCTGGCAAATGGGACGCGCAGTCCCTGTTATGGGACACGCAGTCCTGGCAAAAGGGACGCGCAGTCCCTGCTATGGGACACACATTCCTGGCAAATGGGACGCGCAGTCTCGATTATGGGGCACACAGTCCTGGCAAATGGGACGCACAGTCCCTGTCATGGGACACGCAGTCCTGGCAAATGGGACGCGCAGTCCCTGCTATGGGACACACAGTCCTGGCAAATGGGACGCGGAGTCTCGATTATGGGACACACAGTCCTGGCAAATGAGACGCACAGTCCCTGTTATGGGACACGCAGTCCTGGAACGCGCAGTCCCCGCTATGGGACACACATTCCTGGCGAATGGGACGCGCAGTCCCTGTTATGGGACACGCAGTCCTGGCAAATGGGACGCGCAGTCCCTGCTGTGGGACACACATTCCTGGCAACTGGGACGCGCAGTCTCGATTATGGGACACACAGTCCTGGCACATGGGACGCGCAGTCCCTGCTATGGGACACACGGTCCTGGCAAATGGGACGCGCAGCCCCTGCTATGAGACACACATTCCTGGCGAATGGGACGCGCAGTCTCGATTATGGGACACACAGTCCTGGCAAATGGGACACACAGTCCCTGTTATGGGACACGCAGTCCTGGCAAATGGGACGCACAGTCCCTGCTATGGGACACACATTCCTGGCACTTGGGACGCGCAGTCTCGATTATGGGACACACAGTCCTGGCAAATGGGACGCACAGCCCCTGTTATGGGACACGCAGTCCCCGCGCATTGGAGGATGCCCCATGTAAATCGGAGGTGAGGGGGAGAGATCGAAGTGGAACGGATAGGTGGCAGTGTCAGGCATGGGGGTGGGGGGCTTACCAGCCACCGTGCAAAGGGCCCGCGTGTAGGCCATGGGCGGTCATAGGCCGCGCAGTGGAGGGCATTGGCGCGAGTGTTGCACAGCATAGGCGTGGTAGTAGCCGCATCTTCACAAGTGTTGCATCCAGAACATGGCGTGCCACAATTGCTAGGGCACGAAGCGGTAAAACATTACCCGTGCCTTAAACGACAGCCGTGACAATCCTCCTCCTCCTCCTCCTCCTCCTCCTCCTCCCACGCGCTCCAGGGCCTGACGGCCTGCACTTTCGAGCGTGGAATGTTGGATGTGGCCCCGAGGTCCTTCATAGCTGTCTTCTCTGGGCCCTTCAAGGTCTCACGATGCCTCTGTGGTTCTGCTCCTTATCTGTCTTCCTCCCCAAGCCCATCTCTGGGGAACCCGACTCGGGCTCTGGAGGAGTCCGCCGCAGTGCCCAAGATACCAGACCTTTGGGCCTCAAAAGTACCAGTAACAAAGTGGTCGCCGCCACTTTGAACCGGCGCATCACTCCTGCCATCCAGCGTGTAGCTTCGGTGGTGCAGCGCGGTTTTGTCGCAAAACGGAACTTTGTCAACAATATTGTCGATCTCGACAGCGCTGCTCGTTTAGCTGCCGTCCGTGCCGCGTGTCATCCCTCGCCCCCACTCGGTCCCCCCTCTCTTCTCTCCTTCGACTTTGCCCAGGCTTTTCCATCTGTCTCGCAGGCCTGGATGAAGCTCACAGTCAAAGCGTATATGATGCCGCGCGGTTTTCTTCTAGCTGTGATTGCCTATTACGCGCTTAATCCGTGCTACTACGATCTAGGCATGACCGTGAGGCTTATTTATTGGATGCATGCTGGAGTGTTACAGGGGTGTCCACTGTCGGGCTCTCTCTTTGTCTTCGCCTCCAACCCCTTTCTCGAAGACCTCTTCAGGAACATCGAGCGGAAGGCTCGAGGTCGTGTGCGTGCATGCGCAGATGACATCGGCGCTGTCATATGGCACTGTCGCGCATATGCCGCCTTCGCACGTGTCTTTCGTGTCGCACGCATGTGTGTTTCACTCTATCTGAAGCCAATTAAATGCGTGGCCGTCCCGCTGAACGGTCCCCTGTGCGAGGAGAGCGTTAGCACGCTCCGATCCGCATTGGCAGCGGCAGATAGCGCATGGCATGCTTTCCGCATCGCAGATAAACTTGTTTATCTTGGAGTTTTGCTGGGACCCGCTGCGGCAGACCTGGACCAGTGGGCCGCGCCACTTTTGCAGTACCGCGACCGTTCGGTTCAGATTGCGCAGTCTGGTGCCCCGCTGCTACGAGCCGCGGACATGTATCTGTCTCGAGCGCTGCCTGTGCTGTCGTACAAAAGTCAGCGCTATGTTCTGCCCGCTCGTATGGCCTGAGAGAGCGATTTATGCTTGCGCGTCTTTGGAGTGTTCCTGGCTGTGCCCTTGCCCATGCCGATTGTTTTGAACTCGAGCGATGGGGATTACCTCGTTTCCGTAGCGCTCGGGAGGCTAACGCGAGTGCTTTGATGAGGTCCGCCCTTGTCACCCTCACCACTTGGCAAGCCAATCTTGCGGAGCTTCGATCGTCTGTCGTGTCCCTTGGGCCTGCCGAGTGGTGGGAGCACCCCCGTCTGGCTCCCCCCTGGTGGACCGCCCCTGCCCTCGCTTGGACCCTTGAGCAAGCCTCCATGGGTTTCCCATCGCCTCCGATGGGACCTCGAGCTAGGCGTACACGCGCCGGTAGATTCAAGATTGCGTTGGCCACAGGCGGCGCACGGGCGCTGAGGGTCTTCAGGGAAAGAGATAGTTCGGCCCCCAGGGCTAAGAAGCCGCGGCGGGAGGGCAAGTCTCGAGCCTGCTTTGAAAGCGAGCTCCTCCCATCAGAGCCCTCTGCATGAGCTGCTCGTGTTTGTGCCCGTATACGCCGCCACTTCCTGCCGGCGTTCGCATGGGATGGCCAGGCTGCTGATGCTCAGGCCCTTTTTCGCTTCATCCCCCCCGCCTGGGCTCATATCACCCTTCGCACAAGGCTAGGAGCTTGGATCACAGGAGCTCGGATGCAGAGTCGCGGCTGCCAATGTGTGTTTGGGTGTCCAGAGGCTCCTGACATAATCTCTCACTATATTTTATCGCGTCGCTGGCTTCAGTGGCTTACCAGCCTCTCCCTTCGCTCCTGGCTTCCCTCTGATCCTCTGGTCCTCCTCGGTCTCTCTGGATCCTCCAGGTCTGCTGCTTTTATCGTCACTATGTATCATTTCTATCGCCTTGCCTCGCATCGCTGATCGCTGCCTCTCGACATCGGAGAAGCGCAGGCGCTGATTCCAGCCGTGAGGCTGGCTGTTCGACTGCCCACCCGCGGGAGGCAGAAGTTCCTCCTTGATCGCCTGTTCTTGGACTCGATCGTCCAGGCTGGCCGCGGGGAGGAGAGCAGCAGCAGCTGTAGCAGCGGGTAGGTTGGACGGGACCTTTTCCGCCACGCTCCACCTCCTCCTCCTCCTCCTCCTCCTCCTCCTCCTCCTTTTCCTCCTACTCCTCCTTCCTCCTCCTCCGCCCCCGGTGCCTTCTCCCGCTCGGCTGTCCTGTCTTCCGCTTCGGGAGGGCACGGGAGGAGAGGAGACGGGGGAGCGGGGAAAAAAGAGCAGCGGAGGACGTCAGGCAGGGTGCCCAGAGCTTGGGGCATGCGTGTTGAATGCCACGCGAGCAAAGAACGAGTTGTCTTGAAAGGATTGGTGTGGAGCTCTCGTTTCTGAAGGATGAGGTCTTGTTAATCCTCTTCCACTGGGCGACCAGCGCCACCCTGACGTTCGCACCTGGTGCTTTATTCAAGGCGCGTCTTGAGCCTCAAAATGTGTTGATGGCCCCATGGAGTACAACAGCGAAGGCTCCTGGCTTCTGTTCTCCATATGTTTGTTTTGGAATGACGCTCTCGCTTGAGACGTGCTTGCAGCTTACTCAGGCACCGTGCTCTCGTCCTTTGACATCTTCATGATGTACTCAGGCCCCCCGATCTCGACACTCGAGAATCTCGCTGTCGCTTGTGACTTTCTCACAACCCTCATTTCAGGAAGTGCGCTCCCGCCGTTCACGAATTGCACTCTCGCCCAGGACTTCTTCGTGAAGGTCCGCCCGCCCGACCTGCCCACTAGGGTCCACTCGTTCGCATGTTTTGGAGCCCGCCCGCTTCTTCATACCTCGCACCCGGCTGCTTCAGTGTCCCGCCCGTTCGACCGGCTGGGTGGATTTGCCCGCCAGGCCTGCCCATGCAGGGCTTCAGTTCCCTTGCCTGGAAGCTTGCCCGCCCGCTTTATATACAGTCGGGGCGCTGAAGAAGGAACCCTTCTCGTTTGCGAAGGGCTCAGTGTTATTTTAGAGTTCGCCTGAGGTGTTCCCTAGGTTTTCGATGGGAAATGGAAGAGTTTATCCCGTGGAACAAAAGGGGTCTCGTTCCCTATGTAGGGTGCCTTAGGTCAACGCCTCCACTGTAGTGTCCCGCTCGCCCGACCGCCCCGGCAGTGCCCGCCAGCCTGACCCGCCCGCGAGGGCCCGCCCGTCCGGCCCGACTGCCAGGGGCCCGGCCCGCCCGACCCGTCCGCCAGGGCCCCGGCGCCCGAACCCGACGCGCCCGCCGCAGGGCGCCCCCCTGCCCGTCCTGCCTGGCAGGGCCCCCGCCGTGCAGTCGGCCCGCACCACAAGGATGCGCGATGAGGATGCAGAAGGGCCCTGGAGGCCCATCTCGAAAAAAGTTTGTCGAGCGGGGGCGCGGTTCACGGAGGCGGCCAAGGCTGGACCGAGGGGGCAGGGGTGCAGGCATGCCCTTGGGAAGGCTGCCCCTCCTTGCTGTGCGGGTTGACTGTGATGCCCTCCGTGCCCGTCCCTTTGCTTGACATTTGCCCGCCCGCTTCAGGAGGAGGAGGAGGAGGAGGAGGAGGAGGAGGAGGAGGAGGAGGTCCCGCCCGCCCGTGTCCCGCCCGTCCAGGGTCCGCCCGGCCGCTTCGCCCGCCAGGCTGATCCCCGCCCGGACCCCCCGCGAGGGTCCGCGCGCCCGGCCCGATTGCCTTGCCGCGTTGGGGTCTGCCCAGCAGCTGGAAGAAGCCCTCCACAGGGGGCGCAGCTCATCAACCACGAGGGCTGGTGTCGAGGGTTCGGGGCCCGGAAGTTTGGGGTATACACATTGTCCGTTTCGAAGTATTTGAAAGTTCTTTGATTTTTTTTGGGGGCGAAGATCCTTTCATTTCTAAGTGTTCTATCCTGGGCTTATTCCTGGCCGCTAGGGGTCCAGGAACAAGTAGAAACGAGCACATTTCGAAATGATCGCGATTAGAAATGAACGACGTGTACATGCTGAGCTCTACGTTGCGTATAGTGTTCGGTTTTACCCAGCAGCTGGCACGAAATGAACCAGCCCTCCAAAGGGGGCGCAGCCTATCAAACACGAGGGCTGGTGTCGAGGGTTCGGGGCATACATATTGAGCCATACTTTTGGTGGGAGCGCTCTTGAGATGATGGTCAAGTTCTCACTCCTGAAGAAAACTATCGTTAACCCCCTTGTCCGGTGCGCATTGTGCTTCTCCAATTGAAGTGCGTGTCCCCCCTGGGCTCGCATTTTTTTGGGGGAGGGTAATGAGGCGTAAGCTGTGCTGTTGTCCCCATAGTGCAACAACAAAGGCTCCCACCTTACTCGGGAATGGCGTTCTGGCTCGTGAGTTCCGTGCTGTTTACTCAACAGTCGCGCTCTTGCCTGGGATATTCTGGTACAGAATGAAGGGCATCCCGCTCTCGCTGCTCAGGAATCGGGGTCTCGTTTGTGGCTTCCTCGCATGTCTCCCGCTCTCGTCCAGCACGGTTTCTCCGGATTCCGTGGGATTCCTTGTGGGTTCCCTCCGGATGCCTCGGAACTCGTGAGGCGTCCACAGATTTCCGCACGGTTACTCAGGATTCCTCAGGGTTCTTCGGGATTCGTCAGGATCCCACAGAATGCCGCGGGATCTCGCAGGATTCTGCACGGTTCCTGGGGATTCTTTTGGAATCCTTTGGATTTCTGCGGACTGTCAGCGGTCCAATCCGCCAGGATCCCAGGATTGCTCCAATTTGCCAGGATCCCACGGTATTCTCCTCGGTGCCTCAGGATTCCGTCGGTTTCCTCCGGATTCCGCACGGTTCCTTTGGACCCCGCAAATTTCTTCAGGATTCTTCAGGGCTCCTCGGGGTTCCTCAGGATTTCCCAGGTTCCGCTGGACTCTTCAGGATTCGAGCGGCACATGAGGACTTCTGAGGACTCTGCAGGTTTGCCCAGGATTCTTGATGGTTCTTCAAGGTCTTTCTGGATTCAGCAGGATTCCTGGATACCGCAGGGTTCTCAAGGTTCCGTACGATTGTACGCCTGGTGCAATCCAACGCGTCATTTTTAGCATGCCTTGTGCAATCCACACACCATCTCCAGACAGTTCCTGGTAGGTCCCACACCGTTTCTGGTTGTCCTCATACGGGCCGAACAGGTCCCACATTGTCCACATTGGGGCCCGTATCAATTGCCCAGGACATCATGTAACTTATTGATCTTGTTAGGTTGCACCCCCATGGAGTTCATATTCGGTCACGTATACTGTTGTAGGCAATTGTTTAGTTCATGCACGATCCCTATACAGTTCCAATGGGGTCACATACGAGTCCTAGCAGGTTTGATTTTGTCACTTTACAGCTCCCATTCTGTCACGAGCAGTTCCCATGTGATCACGATACAGGTTTGAGTCGGTCGCGCACGGTCCCCGTGTTTGTTTCAGTTAGGTGACATACCTGTCCCATGTAGTCCTTGTACAAGCTCAGGTCATATGCAACCCTTACTCAGTTTCCATTTGGTCACATAGTTTTCTCACACAGTTCTTATATGGTAGCATACCATCCCCACATAATCTACACCACTTCATACATCCTACTCGGTCCCGTACAATCCCCGTACCACTCCCAAACCATCCCCATGCAGTTCCTAGTCGATCCTATCTCATCCTTACATCGTTCAGGACAGAAAATCGCATGCGCGGTGCGAACATATATTTCCTGCACAGGGCAGAGTGAACCTGCCTTGTTGTTTCACTTCACGGGCCTGCGGTGGTGCAAGTTGTTGCGCCGATGCGGTTGCGCCGGCCGGGGTTTCCTGTTTGTGTGGGGGGGACATTTACTTTTCGGCAGCATGCGGTTTTGGGTGTCGCCCCCAACTTGTTTGGCCAAGGATCCATACATCTGGCGTTGCGAAATGGAGGCGGCAGAAGTGGGCGGGGCGAAGGTGTGCTTTCTGGCTCAGACTGCTTTATGTCCAGTTCCTTCTAGTTCGACGTACTGATCGGACAGACGGCACCGACCCCTTGCCTACGACTTCAGTTGTATCCTCTGCACAATGGACCCATCAACGAGGTATGGTTCATCTCAGTCGATCCAGCGTGGCATGCACAATGCCACTTGCAACGATGGCGGCTTATGCGGCCCGTCTGGACTACGCACTGGCACCAGTCAGAGTGACTCCATGTCGGCGTCAACCGTGAATGCTGGTGACTCTCTCGCATCTTACAACAACGCGTACTCTCACTCATCATGCCCGTCTTCAGGTGGCTCCTATGAGTTGTTGCCCCTTATGCGCTCACTGTCCACCATGCATGCGGTCACCATGCAGGGACTTTCCACAGTGCAGTCGCTGCCGCCGTGGCAGGAGAGCGACAACGAGTCATGGCAGACCGATGACGGCTTCGACCACCCATGCGGGGCCTGGCGGGTGGACACCGATGTCGGCAACCCACCCGAAAACGCGCAGGATTCGCATTGGGTGGGTGCTGGTGGCGCCCAGTCGGCTGCCGAGGTGCGGCTGCCATCTCAGCCCACACGCGCTTCGCTGCTCCACGGCGTCGTGGGGGCGGCGCCAGCCCGCTCGCCGACCAGGCTGCCCAGCACGCCCCTGCGCTTTGCCGCCGGGGCGGGAGTCGCCGTGGGCCCCCCCGGCGATTGGTCGCGCCTGGCAGGGCCTGCCCACGCAGAGGCGGAGCCGGGCCGCGCGGTGCGGGCGAGGCAGTCAGCCAGCGGAGGGCGGAGGCAGTCAGCCAGCGGAGGGCGAGGCAGTCAGCCAGCCGAGGGCGCGGCGCGGGCGGGCAGTCAGCAAGCGGGGGGCGGCAGTCACGCTCGCGGCTGCCAGGGCGCTGGAAGAGCAGTGGGCTCGCTCCTGGAGCGGGAGCAGGTCTCCAGCAACAGGCCCAGGAGGTCAGGTGGAGACTCAGCGAGCAGGAGGCCGACATGGTGAACCTGGAGCTTTATCAGCGTGAGCTCGCGGGCAGAGTACCAGCGCCGACCGAGTATGTTCCGACCGTCACCCCTGCAGCTCCAGCCATCACTTCGCTCATGATCAAGAACATCCCGATGGTTGTGACGCAGGGGGACCTGCTGGACCTCGTCGACCAGACCGGCTTCGCGAACGTCTACGACTATGTCTACCAGCCGACTGACTTCGACTCTAGAACCACTCAGGGGCATGCGTTTGTGAACTTCGTCACCCCAAGGGACGCCCGCGAGTTCTTTATCCGGTGGAACGGGTCGCGGCTAACCGGAGTTGCTGGAGCTGGCACCATCGCGACCGCCGTGCTCGAGGTCAAGGCGTCGGCGCTGCAGGGCTACGAGGAGAACGTCAGGAGGTGGACGGCGAGCCGGATGCGCCGCATTAGCAACTCCGAGCTCCACCCCTTCATCGCCCGAAGGCTGGCTGCCCAGTGATCGTGCGGCGGATAGTTGCACTGTGTTAGCGGCTCGGGATGAGAGAGACGAGGGGAACTCGGAGTTGGAGGAGAAGGAGGAGGAGGAGGAGGAGGAGGAGGAGGAGGATACCGCGCATTGCGCCCCACTTGGCGGCGCCGCGTCGTGGCGATCAAGAGCTGTCCCCCTGCCAGGCGGACAGCCCAGCTGGGCCGCGCGTTTTGGGCCATGTGCGGAGGGCTGTTCCCAGTCGCCCCAGCGCACGTGTGCCTCCGAACGGGAAGGTGAAGAAGGGGGGCAGGAGCGAAGGAGTGTCAGCGTCTGCGTTACTCCCTGCATTGGCGATCATTCGTTTTTAATTGTTCGATTTTAATGTGATTCATGGGCATGGGTTTCGTGCGTGAACGTGGTGCCAGCCTTATCTTGCGCATCTTTGCGCATCACCCTGCACTTGCCAGATCTGAAACTTGCATCACCGATGCTGAAACATGAGCTCAGGGATCATCTGTGCGCTTCGGTCCAAAGATCATGGATGCCGAGATTTCTGAAACAGCTCAGCATCACGCCTCATTGCGGCGGGGGTGTTCGTTAAGGAACGTGCCCAGGAGGCTTCAGTTCTTGGGGGGTTCCTGATCTGATGAGGGCGGCTGTGGTATCCATGGCCACTCCACGATTGGAGAACCACTGTTTTGTAGACCCTGAAGCCCTGATCCAATGGTTCCTTTTCTAATGCCTTCACCGTGTTACCATCAGTGGAAATGAGGGAAGCGACCCTTCCCCCGCGCGGCATCCGTTTTGGACTGCCTGGCCGCGCCGCCTAACTGGGCGTCTTGCCCGTTGCCTTGAGCTTCAGTCCAGCCAGGCCAGCAGCGTGCATCTCCCTTGTCCTCTATTTCTCTCCTCTTCTCCGCCTCCGTCGCCCTTCACTCTGGAGGCTTTGGAGCCTCAGGGGGCATCGTTGTTGCTGCCGCTGCTTAGTCATGCCTCAGGGCAGGTGCGACTAGAGGCTTCGTTTCCAACGCGGCATCAGTAAAATACTGCTGAACCGAGCCGCGTGGCCATTTTGCCCACGACCTCCGGTCCAGCGTGCGTCTTCGAGGGTAGGGTCTGACTCCCGCCGGATGATGCACGCTGGTGCTCTATGCAGCGCGTAGTTTCTCTCTGGCGTTTTTGGCCTTGGAAAGGCTCTGCACATCCTTTTAAATCGTCCGCCTGAAGGACTGCTATAACGTGATGTTGAAATTGATGCTCCTCGACATTGTCGCAATGCCACTGCTGCATGCTGCTGCCTTTCTATCATCTTGCAGGGAGGTTGTAGTCCCATTGTGTTCTAAAGGATTCCAGTCTGAGTCCTGCATGGTTTCTACGGAATTCCTGTATCAGTATGTTCCTAGTAGGTCAGTCAGGGGCCTTTCCCTGGTAGGCCCATACCTAATTCGAAACAATTCTTATACTCTTACTATGACCCATACCGTTCCGTCGCCATACCCATACAGTTTCTGATAGTTCCCAGACCGTCTTTGTTGAATAATTAGAAACGAGCACAATTAGAAGTGAGCGCGATTAGGAATTATCGACGTCTACATGTTGAGCTCTACGTTGCGTACAGTGGTCGGTTTTACGCAGAAGCTGACACGAAATGAACCAGCCCTCCAAAGGGGGCGCAGCCTATCAAAAACGAGGGCTGGTGTCGAGGGCTCGGGGCATACATATTGCATATTGAGCGATAGTTTAGGTGGGAATGCTCTTAAGATGATGGTTGAATTTTCATTCCTGAAGAAAACTATCGTTAACCCCCCCTGTCCGGTGCGCATTGTGCTTTTCCAATTGAAGTGCGTGTCCCCCTTGGGCTCGCATTTATTTTGGGGAAGGTAATGAGGCGCAAGCTGTGCTGATGCCCCCCCAGTACAACAACAATGGCTCCCGCCTTACTCGGGAATGGCGTTCTGGCTCGTGACGTCCGTGCTGTTTACTCAACAGTCGCGCTCTCGCCTGGGATATTCTGGTAACGAATGCAGGGCATCGCGCTCTCGCTGCTCAGGAATCGGGGTCTCGTTTGTGGCTTCCTCGCGTGTCTCCCGCTCTCGTCCAGCACGGTTTCTCCTGATTCCGCGGGACTCCTTCGGAACTCGTGAGGAGTCCACAGATTTCCGCACGCACGGTTACTCAGGATTTCTCAGGGTTCTTTGGGATTCGTCAGGATCCCACAGAATGCCGCGGGATCTCGCAGGATTCCGCACGGTTCATGGGGATTCTTTTGGAATCCTTTGGATTTCTGCGGACTGTCAGCGGTCCAATCCGCCAGGATCCCAGGATTGCTCCAATCCGCCAGGATCCCACGGTATTCTCCTCGGTGCCTCTGGATTCCGCACGGTTTCCTCTGGATTCCGCACGGTTCCCTTGGACCCGCAGGCTTCTTCAGGATTCTTCAGGGCTCTTCTGGGTTGCTCAGGATTTCCCAGGTTCCGCAGGACTCTTCAGGATTCGAGCGGCTCATGAGGACTTCTGAGGACTCCGCAGGTTTGCTTTGGATTTTTGAGGGTTATTCCGGGTCTTTCTGGATCCAGCGGGATTCCAGGATTCCCCAGCGTGCCTCAGGATACCGCTGGGTTCTCAAGGTTCCGTACGATCGTACGCCTTGTGATCCAACGCGTCATCTTTAGCATGCCTTGTGCAATCCACACCATCACCAGGCAGTTCCTGGTAGGTCCCACACACCGTTTCTGGTTGTCCTCATACAGGCCGAACAGGTCCCACATTGTCCACATCGGGCCCCGTATGAATTTCCCAGGGCATCATATAACGTATCCATCTTGTTAGGTTGCACCCCCGTGGAGTTCAGATTCGGTTGCGTATTTTGTTTTGGGCAATTGTTTAGGTCATACACGATCCCTATACAGTTCCAATGGGGTCACATACGATTCCCAGCATATTTGATTTTGTCACTTTACAGTTCCCATTCTGTCATGAGCAGTTCCCATGTGATCACGATCCAGGTTTGAGTCGGTCTCGCACGGTCCCCGTGTTTTTTTGCAGTTAGGTGATATCTGTCCCATATAACTCTTGTACAGTTCCCGTAAGGTAATATGCACTCCCTACTCCGTTTCCATTTGATCACATAGCTTTCTCACCAAGTCTTTATTTGGTAGCATACCATCCCCACAGAGTCCCTACACCAAGTCATACAGTTCCCACTCGCGGTCGCGACGAACTCCCTCAGTGGAGCCCGTGCCTCCTCCACGATGAGGTTCGCGGCCGCCGCCATCTGTCCGAGCGCCCCGTCAAACCCGAGCTCGCTCGCCTGCACACCAAGCGTGAGCCGAGGAGGCCACAGCCACGCAGCACCAGTATGACCCGCCGCCGCGCGGCGTCGAGGGCGCACGGCCCAAAGGCCAGCATCTGCGCCCAACCGTTGTTCACAGTCGGCCGAGCATCGGGCAATTAAGGAATATATGTTTACGCGTTAGTGCACGGGGGTGGGGACGGTTTGCTGAAGCCCTGCCTTCAAGGCTCCAGACCCCCCGACTCCATCGTTGCGGCGAAGGCGGATTCCTGACGTCCTGTCCTAACTGGGGGGGCGGGGGCTCGCAACCGCAACGGCGCAAACCCTACTACAACCGCTGGGGAGTCTGCGCAGAACACGCAGGTGCGCACAGGGAAACCAGCGTTTGCGTTGAACTGCATAAGGATGGCGCGGGACCAGGTCGTCCATGGACATGGTATGGGGATGGTATTGGGATGGTATGGGGCTAATAGGAACTGCACAGGGGTGGAATGTGACGTAATACCCTATGGACTTGGCATTGTTGACCAAAAGAAACATGTTACGTGATCTGACAGGACCTGTATGAAGGGGTGAATGTGACCTCATAAGCTCTGCATTAAAAAAAGGTTATTTGAGGCTGGCATGTGACCTAGAAAGAGCAGCTCGGGACGGTATGTAACCGAGCAGAGACTGCATCGGGAGACTATGGGGCTGGCGTGAGAACTCATACAAACTGGCAAATGATTGTACGTGACCTCATGGGACAGTGTAAAAGCTCCCGAAAGTACACAGCCAGCCTGGGGTCCCCGGGCGCCTGCTGGTGCCTTGCGTGGTCGCCTGCTGGCGCCCCTCCTGTTCGGCCCTCGGCGGGCCCGCCTGGCCCGCCCTTTCTGGCGTTTCCTCGCTGGCATCCAGAGGCGTTCGCAGGCCCTACCAGGGTAGTACATTGCCTGCGAGGCCCGTCGTCGTTCGAGGTCGCAGAGAGCAGCTGCAGGGCCGTCCCGCCGGCCCGCGCGGCACGCCCCTGCGTTTCGCCTCCCACTTTCCCCTGCGCCCCCCCTCTTGGACGGCCGGCTGGGCTCGTCCTTCGTTCTGAGGGGCTCCGCCCGTGCGCCACTTGCACTGGGCGACGCGTAACTCCCTGCTGTGATGCCGTGCACCGGCTGCGGAATGGCGCTCCTATTTCTCCCCTACCGCTGCTTCTCCCTGCGCCCTGCGACGGGTGCCCTGCCTGCCCGCCTCTGCCACAGGGCCGCCGCGCTATCCACCGCCTTGGGCTACCCGAAGCTGCTGCAGCGCTGGCGCACCTCCTGCCGCTGCCGGCCCCACGCCGCTGCCTCCCCCCCGCCGGCAACCTGGTCTTCCAGCCGCTGGCCGCTCCCACTCTCCGACTTGCTGGGCCTCGCCCGCACTGTGGCTGCTGGCCCCCCTTCCTGGGTGAACTGCGACGCCGACCCGCTGCTGCTGCCAGGCTGGCCCCCTCAGCCAGGCCGCGCCCACGCACCCGCCGCAGCCTCGCTGCGTGAGTGCGCCCTCGCACCCTTCCCCACTCCCGCGGCCGCGTCCTCTCCTCCTCCCCCCCCCCTCGTGCGTGCGGGCAAAAAATTCGCGACTCCGCGCCCCGGTTTCGCTCGGACGCGCGTGCGGGTTGCTTCTGCCGCGCTGCGACGGAAAAAAGTATCGGAATGATGCTGTCGCCCCGGCGCGGGCCAAATCCTTGATCAAGCATGGTGCTCTCGTCTCAGTGCTGGCAACATCTCCGACTGGGACATGGTGCTCTCGCTCCACAGCGCGGCCCGCATCCCTGGTTGAACACGGTG